TTTTTTTTCACTATTGTTAACTTTTGCAATTTTTTTTATTCCATATGCTTGGTAAACGCACAGGGATTTATTTATTTTTTAAAGTGAGAGCACAAAGAAAAAAAAAACGGGAGCTGGACCCTATACCAGCCAACTTTGGACTTTTTGCCAGTCAGTCATTCATACAAACCCTGGTCTGGGTACTTGTCAAATTGAGGGCACATGTAGACAAACAATAACTGATCATTATTTTTAGAATGTGGGAGGAAGCTAGAGTACCCACGCAAACATGGGGAGAACATCCAAACTGCACACAGGACCGCATCCATCATTTTGTAATGGTTAGGAATGGACTTCGCAAGCAAGATTACGTGAGAAATGCAGCATAGATTTCGACCGAACTTTGTAAGGGGGTTGAGGGGGTCTGCACTTTACGTGTCTCCCTGTTCTTTGTACTAAAGAGCTGTACCTTTACTCTTCCCTATGTGTTTATTCTTCTATTTTGTAATCATTCAGGCCAATCCCCACTTTCCTGTAACTGGTCCAAAAGTCCAAACAACTGCACCGTCCTGGAATCCATCCACCTCTTTCCATCCCACCCAAATATGGCCCTTCAAAACTCAAGCCAGCTCACATTTTATTTCAGAGGTTGTGTTGGTCCTATGATCTTTTCACCTCAACCTGGGGTCCCTCCAGCTCTATGTCAGGGTGGTCCACTTCCTGTCGGTGCCGTTCCGTCGAGTACCCACAAGGCCCAAGGTGTCAGCTCATTTCCTTGAGCAATTTTGAGTGCACTCCACGTGACCAGGAATCGATTTTGACACTTGTCCAGTTCTTTCTGACCCCCGCCGCCCACTCTCTGTGCGAGCTGGACTCTGAGACCAGAGAGGTGGGAACACGGTAGGAGGTACACCGGTGAAACATATGGTGGGGGAGTGGGCTGCAGTGGGGGACAGAAGGGGGAAATGGACTCCTCGTTCAGCATCAGGTGAAGGTTGACAGATAACCTATTTGCAAGGCTGACCTAGTCAAACCTTTCATCAGGATTTCATGCCATTTATCACAAGTATAAGATGGGTGGATTTACATTGCAGGTCCAAGTGCCCAGTTCTGATTTAATACCGCGATCAATTGTTATCCAATTTACTCTATATTGTAACTTCAAGATGGCGCAGTAGCTGGCAGCCGTCTGCAAGAGCTCTGCATTTTTGTTGTTGTTTGTGTCTTTTGTGTTTGTTCTCCTTCGTGTGGACCGTTTTCAGGATTTTGGCCACATTTGTCGAAGAAGAATCTGTGCTTGACTGTTAGGGCTATTCGGCAGCATGTGTGTAGCAACACTGATTTTGATGGGGGCGGGGGGGGATGTCGGCGCTATTTGATTGTCGGTGCTTGACAAATCGTTACGGGGTTGTGCTAGTTGAACGTGGCTTGATCTGCGTAACCAATCAGAGGGCGGAAGATGCTGATCCTGTCTACGACCAGCTCTTTGGCTCTGTGAGGATGAATTTGATATTGTCCCATTGCTAAGACAGTGGTGCCTTGAAATATGAGTTTAAGTCGTTCGGCGGTATTTTAAGCCTCGCGAACAAAACATCAAATTTGTAATTTTTTTTTCTATAATGTGAAAAATTGCACTCTGTAAATTTTTACATACTGTAAATAAAACACAGCAATTACATCATTTAGTACACTGAAAAGAATTGAACAGTTTTTGTCCAATTTGTGCTTCACTTAAATGGACATTGTGCTGCTGCTTTTGATGTGCATCTGGGGGCGGTATATTGCAGACATGGATATACATGGACATGGTGGATACCTGACAACTCATAAACAGTAAGGTTAGTCGGTCTTTGCAGAGCATAAATAACATTTGTCAGTGAGTATTGTTATATTATCTGTCTGAATGTGTTGCTCCATTGTTGGTGTTCAAATATCCGTTGCTTTAGATTGGTGCTGTGATGTTAAGCACGGCACCAATTAAATTCATTAGCACATCTATGGCATTTTGTACCATTTGTTGGCTTTGGAAAGGCAAAGCTATGTGGTTGCTTTTAATACACTTTTTTTAATATTTAGGTTGACAGTAAAATTCAAGTAGGGGTGGCAATAAAGAAGGCTTGTTCACGATCCACCAAAGTGCTGCTTGTTGTTAAGTGAGTTGTGTTTATTTTACCATCACCAAACAGCACTTATGTTTTTTTAGCAAAAACATTGGCCAAACCATAGCTCGTATATCGAGAAAGCTTGTAAGTCAGGTCACTCGTATCTCAAGGCACCACTGTATAGTTGAAATTTTATGGGCCAAGCACTCCTGATTTTGAAGGCCAGGCAAATTAGATTAGATAGAGGCTGAAACACAGACTGGACAAAAACTTAATACCCAATACACGTACTGGGAGGAGTGCAGCCAATGGAAATATATCCACTTTTCTGAATAAACTAATACAGTTTTATGTAAATATTGGTTTGTACTTCTCATGGTACAGTAGAAGGCCCTGCTGGAGCTGACATCCCACGACTGCATTTTGTTCAGGTTCCTACTTTGTGAGCCACTGTGCTCCAGGATGCAACCACACCTACCACGACGTCACGACATTATTCATATAACAGCTTGCATACAATGAGAGTGTGCACGCACACGAACACACAACAGGAAGTAAATTGTCAGGTGTCTAAGTGATATCGATTCAATGGCGTCACCAATGAGTCACTTTATCTCCCTAACAACTTTGCATGGAATTTACCAGCAGGACTAATTACCTTAACTATAAAAATCAAGTTATGTCGGAATCATCCCTTAAAAAAATGTATCAGAAATTTCACTGTGTTACCAAACTAGATATAATTGTTCAGCAAATAACACAAACACTCCAGTAAATAGAGTATACTAAATGACAGAAATCCATCATCAAGGCTATTCCGAGTGAGGGTTGGTCAGCTTGACTGTGGAAGTCGGCGTTTATGACTGTGTCATAACTGGGCCTCGTAGTGGTCATAAATGTTAAATGAGTCTGGGAAGCACAGATGACACACATTGTCTCTAACAATAGATAATGGCACACATGGCCTTCTCAAGTGAACTGCCCCACCGTACCTATTTTAACCCTCAATTAAATAGGAGGGGGGAAGGGATTTATTTTTTTTGTACTTTTTTTTCAAGAGATAATCTTGGAATTTCTTTTCTTTCTTATCAAACGTTAAGTTCCAGCACCCAACAAAACTGCTCACCTAACGTAGACACACATTCCACACTTTTAACCCTGACTGCTGTTGAAAACATACAGTCACTGTACAACACACTTCCTTTTTTGTATTGCATTTCAGGTGTAATTTGGACCGACGTGAGGCAGTGCGGCTTGGACAGTTTAGGCTTTACAGTTTTTGTAAACAATTTATTCCCTTGCCCACGGACGTTGGAGCGAGAAGTTACATTGTTCCCAACTGTGGTTCAGCACTGGCTTGGGCAGCTTCATAGATGTCACACTGCTCCAACATACACCACAATTTACGCTATCCAAGGCAAGTATCTCGAAACAGGATCTGTTCTTGAGAAACCATGCAGCGGAACGCTTGCTCCTAAGGCCACTGGTGACAACGCCAAGTAAGCTCTTGGAGCACAAAGCAAGGGAAAGTCTATCCAGAAGGATGCATTGGATCTCAGCAGCAACAAAACTTAACCCAGGGGATGCTTCGAACAGTGACAAAGCTTTACCTATTCTGACTTTAGGCTGGGCAAAGACCTGAAGCAGAAGATTTTGACACTCGACATTCTCGTTTGCTTTTTTCTATATGTAGGGAAATTTGGATTAAATCTGAGATTTTATTTTAAAGTCATATCATCTAGCCTAATACATGCTATCCTGATAACTATGTAGCTAGTTTAAGAAGTCGGCATCTGTTTTTAGTTCACAGAAACACCTCAGTTTATACTAAATATCGGCTACAGTATTCATTTACTTTTCTTTGAAGTCAAGATGGCGCCCGAGTAGGCAGCCGTCAGCAAGTGCTCTCATGAGCCTTGCTTTTTTTGTTGTTTTTGTGTTTGTTTTGTCACTTTGTGTTTGTTGTTACGTCGTGTGGACCTGATGTGGACTTTTTTTCAGCATTTTTTGGCCACGACATTCATCAAGGAGGAGACTCTGTGCTTGGTGGTTGCGCCTTCTCGGCTGCATGGGTATACCAGCACTGTTTTTGACTGGTAGGAATGTCGGCGCCAGTTGCTGGACAGTCCCGGGGCGCTTGTGTCTTGTGCCTGTAATGGGCAGCATTTTTCACAGCCCCGCTTTGTTCAGCGGGGAGATCGGTGTTGTTGAACGGTCTGCGGCTGGATGGATGCATGGCTTGCGGAGCCGACAATGAGAAGAAAGGAGCGTTAGCGCGGAGCGCCGATGCGGATTTGGAAATGGGAGGCGCGGCTTTGGGTTTGAAGCGGATTACGTGGGACAGGAGAAGTGAACTATAAACCTCTTTTCGTCAATGGACGCTCCAGCTTCGTGTTTGCTTTCAAACCTTAGCTTGTAGCAGACGTGTGCACATTTTCAGCATGACGTCTCTGATCCACTGGTGAAAGGACACTTTGATCCTCTCCTCTTTCATCTATAACTGCTTCGGACAACAAAGTGTATGCAGAAAAGTGGTGAAGATTGCACGACTGTCTTGTGTCCTATGTGTTGTGTTGTGTTATTTTTGTTATTTTGACTTCAAAATGGCGCCGCGAGAGTGCCTTTCCAGCAGCTCCTATATTTTGTTGTTCTACTTGTTCCTTTCATAACTTTGCTGCTGTGTATTGGGAATTTCTCCATTGCGAGACTAATAAAGGTTTTCTTATCTTATCTTATCTTACACAACAGTACTGTATACTGCTCGAGATACAAATGTTCTTTATTAATCTACGTTCAAACAAAGTGGATGAATGTGTTGAACTGTATTATGTATTCAAAAACAACAAAAAACAAGTGATCATTCATTGATACCAAGGGGAGAAATTAAAAAATCGTATTTCCAAGATGGCGTCATGAAGCTACTGCCACTTTCAACATGGCGTCCTTCTCATCACCAGCTGACGTCACACTGCGTCAATTAACACACCCTTTAATGCCAAATAAACTAGAGTAATATAAATACTTCCACTATATACATATTTGTGTCCTCACCAAGCTTCTTCAAGAAGTAGAACCAGCTTTAATGGCGTTTTCGTACAGTCCTTCAGTGGTGTCTTCCCTGCCAAAGAGTACACAAATACAAGATGAATTTCATCCAATCTGGGATTTTTTTATTGTGCGTTTTTTTAAACAAGGTAATGTTGCAATTTCTTCATTCCTAGTTAACATTTACATGTTAAGTTTTACTGTATTACTTCAAGCACACACCAAGGCCCAGTCGTTTTAAGTGTCTTTACTGCAGTTTTTGTACATTTCTTCAATGGTGACACCATCTGGACTGTCAAAGAGTAAATAAATACAAGGAAAAACCAAGACAAGATGTATGCTTGATGGTAAAGTACATGTATGGTTAACTTCTAATGAAATATAATGAAAAACACCTACCAGATTCATTTGTTGCAAAAACATCTCTTTTGCTATGACTTGCTCTCTTACTACTCCTTGCGTGATTAATTACACGTCGATATTGATTTCATTACATTTTCGGGGCATGTGGTCCACTTCCTCCAGCATTCTAATGTGTTAAGTTGTATGAAAGTGGACATTTGTTTAAAAAAAAAGTGGGAGAAAGTTATGTAGCCTCCGGGCTGATACAAACAAATTCATTCACTGGGTAGACACTTTGAATCGTTGGTTTAGTCTGGCATCCGCAGGATTACAGCGACATCTAGAGGTCATTTTTTGAATCTGCATGCGCACAAAACAACTCGCCCTCGCGCGTCACATGACTCTCCTCTCGCCTCATTGGCTTTCTTCTGTCACATGACTGTCAGATGCACTGTACCACTGTAAACAGTTGGAAGCTACATCGCCCTCGTCTGTTGTGACCCAATATCTTTAACAATCGTGGGAGAAAGTGACTTTAGGTGAAATTTTATGTCACGCGGAGAAACCGACGCTAGTGTGTGGGACTTCAGTGAAAAGATAAGCTTTAGAGCAGGTGCGTCAAATTGTTTTTTGAATCAACTTTTTTATGGCGGCGTGTTTGTGCTGGCTCAGCAAAACAAATGAATCTGAATGAAAGCAATTGATTCGGATTATTCGGACCTATTTAGTCTTACGTCTTGTCTTTTTAAATTCTTTTGAAGTAGAACGCAGGAGAATTGATATCTTGTAATTTTTTTAATTTGATGTAAAAGAATTAAATTTGATGTATTCGGTAAAAAAAAAAGTCGAACTATTTTTAAAAGGTAGTAAAATGAAAATGAGATGTACATCTAAAAGTAAAAAGTGAACGTAAATAAAATGACATGTAAAAATATAAAAGTAACAACTATTTTTAAAGTAAAATAAAAGAAAAGAAAATTCGCTTTTCAATATAATTGTAACAGTAACAATTGTAAAAGCAAAAATATAAATTCTTCAGAGATGCATGTAAAAATTCAAAAACGTGTAAATGTAAAATAAGGTAAATAATGTAAAAGTAATTTTAGGTATATGTATGCACAAAAAAGTACAAAAATAACTTAACTCTAACTAATAGCAAAAAAACAAAAGGAAGAAATATGTGTAGAAGTTAAACTACATGTAAAAGTAACTTAACAGTAAATGTTAAAGCAAAAAAAAAAAAAAAACATAAAAGCGCACAATGTAAAATCAAATTTGTAGTACTTGTAAAAAATCTAATGGTTAATTAAAAGTGAACGTTGAAAATAAGTCAAATTAAAATTTACCTAATCATAAAAATAAAAAAAAACACGTGCTTTGCAGGAGGACTTTTACACACCATGCAAGATAAGTTGCTTAATGCTGCAAGACAGCAAACTCAGCCAGTAATTAAATGTCATGATTAAATGTTATAATGATCATAATACTGTATATTAATTAGAGACATCAGAGTACATGCGCATCGTTCCAGTTAATCACGGCGGAAATATGCAATAACCTGCAAATGTCTGCACATTTAATGCAATACATGTGATTATGCTGAATGACGACATCAGCTACAGTCATTTTGAAAAAGGGAAGTCTTGCGCTCTTTCCCAACTTTTAAACGACAAAAAACACACGTTAAACCTTCTATTCTTTGTTATTACTTGATAATCACTTGAAAAAATAAATTATTGTTGATCTTTCTTTCGAACTCAGAAGTGGTGTGACCTGAATAGAGGCCTAGAAGCTTCCGTGTGTGTGTGTGTGTGTGTGTGTGTGTGTGTGTGTGTGTGTGTGTGTGTGCGTGTGTGTGTGTGTGTGTGTGTGTGTGTGCACGTGTGTGTGTGTGTGTGTGTGGGTGGGTGTGTGTGTGTGGGTGTGAGAGAGAGAGAGAGAGAGAGAGAGAGAGAGAGAGAGAGAGAGAGAGAGAGAGAGAGAGATCATGTGATTCTTTGTGATGTTCCACATTTCTCCCCTCCCCCTTGTTTAAATGAAGACTTTTGACGTTGTCTAAGGCATCAAAGCAGAGCCACTTCACATGTGAAGATGAAGATTGATGTCTCCTATGAGAAGGTACCATAAGAAATAAGTTATTACTTGTATTCCAATTGTGATGTGCACAACCTCTGCATGGCATCTCTAGTAGTCAGTGAGAAATTCGAGAAAATGTTTTGTAATAGTGGGAGGGAAAAAAAGATAAAAAATCCTGGAACCGCATGAAAATGTAATAGGCATTTCCTTCGCCTCTCAAGGGTTTTGTGTTGAAATGCTTTTTGAAACTTTATCCTAGAAATGACCACCGCCACGAGAAAGCCTGACACTTTAGGGCATTTGCACATTATCGAGTTTTTTGTTTTTGGTCCTAAAATTGGTTTGGGAAAACATTTGCACTCAATTTTTGGATAATTAAGTTATGGTAAATACAATAATAACTATGAGTAAAATGAATATTTTTTTGTATACAGGTAATTAATTAAATTAAGTATAAATAATACAATTGAAAATTTGAAATCATTATTTCATTATGGAAATTAAAAATGTCAAATTTTACATGCACTGCATCTATGAATGAGCTGGCCAATCTGTTTTTGAAAAAAACCTAACGTGACCCTTGAGAATAAAAGTTGGCTGCCCCTGCTATAAATAGTACCCCCCCTCCTGACCTCACCAAAAAAAATGCCTTCTAAGTGGGGTGGTACTTTGAAAAGTGAATATACTTGACTGGGCTAGGGGGAGGACGTTAATCCATTGACACTTGCCGAACTGAGCTATCGTGTGAAAATCTTCATCAACGACTAATATTAGTATTTTGTTCTCCAGTTGGCGGATGTCAGGCGGAGGCGGCCGGATTTGGACGACAAATCTCAAATGGTATGTCAACTAATACCGGTTCAAAAGTCGCCTCACAATAACATTTTGGGCCTCTCTACTGACAGACCTCCTGTTGTCTGGTGGCAGTGGCTGCCACCGCCTCTTTGCTCCTCGCCGCCATGGGGCTCTACAACCTGCTAGCACCTGCCGCTTCCACTGCGCCGCCGATAATCGGCGCTGATCTGCAACTTGGCTTGGAGTCCTGCTCGGACCCGTGCAAGTAAGAAAACGGCATCAAAATGAATGTTGTTCACATATATGGTTTAAAAAGGGGAGTCGAAGGAAATTGGAATCGCAAGAAGTTAAATCCATTTGCGGATTTTTGTGCTCTCACAGTGGAACTTCGCTTTAACAGACGCCAATTTAATGAATTCCAGATTTAACAGACAGTTACGGTGCAGTACTATGATAGTACTGATTTTTTTTTTAAAATGGGGAAATTCTGTACTGTGTACAGTGCATCCAAATGTTTTTCTACTTTCTTCCCTCAAAATTTTGCTGCTGTAAGTTGCGAATTTCCCCATTGTGAGACAAATACAGGTTTTGTTATCTTACCTGAAATTTGAAAATTACCAAAAATATTATTGAAACAATGCAGCTTTCAAGAAAACTGGGACATTTGAAAAGTATAAAAAAAACAGCAACAACATAAAAAAAAAAAACAAAACAAAAAAAACCCCCAAAAAAACATAATAGTTAAACTGTGAAAAATCTGATGTGATCTGACCTCTTTCTCACTTCTTCAGGATCTCCCTCGTGGAGAGCATCCCCGAGGGCGTGCGGTTCAACTCCAGCGACCCGTCTCACGGTTCCACTTACGAAGCATGGCTGCAGCTGATGGCCCAGGCCCGCACAAGTATAGACATCGCCTCCTTCTACTGGACGCTCACCAACCAAGACACGGGCACCCACGAGCCCACCGCAGATCAGGTGCGAACACTTCTTTTCCTGTTCATCCCTCGGTCCACTAATGTCTTCCCGACAGGGTGAGAACGTTCTGAAGAACCTGGCCGAGCTGTCGGGCGCCTTGTCAGTCCGCATCGCCGTCAGCGCGCCACAAGGAAGTCAGCCGACCGCAGACCTCAAACGGCTTAATGCTTCAGGTGACTGTCGCATAAAATATAGCGAACATCATTGCAGTCACCCACTAGTCTAAACACTGTATTCTGATGAATATCGCATTTGTGGAATATGAATTAAGCAGCAAAATCCACCTGTTTTTCGTCCATCTCAAAGGGGCGGCCATTTTGCCACTTGCTGTCGACTGAAAATGACATCTCAGTGCCTAAGGGTCAGCTTGCAAACATCCATAACAGACCCGTGACAGTCATTACCTGAGCCCTGGCGGTACTGTGATGTCATTTTCAGTCGACACCAAGTGACAAATGGCAGTCTTAGATGGATAAAACCGAGTGGAGTTTTCTGCTTAGCAGTAATTCATATTCCACAAACCGAATTTTAATCAGAATATTCACAATTTAGACCAATGGGGTGGCATGGGTCATATTATTGTGAAGGCAGTCTTTGACTTGACTTCCCCTGTAAATAAGCAAAATAATTGCCGATGATGGCCTGCGTAGTCACATGGATTGAATCTTCGGGCAATATTTTAACACTTCGATTATGTGGGTGGTCAAAGTGAACCACTGTAAAGTTGAAAAAGAAAAAAAAAATGTGCTTGTGTGTGTGTTAGGGGCCGACATCAGGATGGTTAAGATGAGAGAGCTGACCTCGGGGGTTCTGCACACCAAATTCTGGCTGGTAGACAAGAAACACATTTACATCGGAAGCGCCAACATGGACTGGAGATCCCTCACGCAGGTACAGTGCACACTTAATTCCAGACGTGCCTCCAAAATGACGCTAGGTGTCAGTATTGCTCTGCAAATGCCTCCTGGCTCAAGGGTGAGTAAACGTGTTTTGTGTTAGTTGAACATTAACACTAGTGTTGAACAGTGGTGCCATATTTAGCTATACAGTGATTCGTTGAAATACAAGTTTGTTTCCTTCCTCAAATGATCTTTTGCTCTTTCCCCAGTAAAATAAAATGTTTATGTGTTTTGTTGTCATCAGGAAAATAGCCCTATAGAATAGTGTACTTTCTAAAAACATACACTATTGTCATAAGGAAGAGGAAGGTAAGCAAATTAAATTAGGTTTTTGCCACATTTTTACTTTAATTCACTAGTCATTGTGTTGCTCTTTCGGGTGTGTGTACCTTGACCACCTGAGGGCAGTATAATACAGATACTGTATACAGTACATGAACACGGTCACGACCTACTCTGTAAGCCGAAATAATATTAATCATTCTCCATAGAGGACGAAAAATATATGGGTATTGCCATATTATCTGTCTACATGTGTTGCGCCTCTGTTTGTGTTACCATTAAGCTAGCGAAGACAAAGTTAAGTGATTTTAAATTCAAATTTAAATTTGCGTCACTCATAACTTTAAGCAGCATGTTTTCGGGAAATCAAAACATTAAGAGCATCTCGATGCATAATCCATGCTGTTGTTTATAAATTGACGCACTCAAGGTATGTTTGAATGTGATTGTTAGGTAAAGGAGTTGGGCGTGGTCGTGTACAACTGCAGCTGTCTGGCCTCAGACTTGGGAAAGATCTTCGAGGCTTACTGGTTCTTGGGGGAGAGCCAGTCCATCCCGTCACCTTGGCCCTCCAGCTTCTCCACCGTCTACAACAAAGAAACGCCACTTCAGCTGACCCTTAACAACACTCTCTCCAGCGTCTACTTGACAGTGAGTAACAACACCAAACTAAAATTCCAGACGTGCCTCCAAAATGACGCTAGGTGTCAGTATTGCTCTGCAAATGCCTCCTGGCTCAAGGGTGAGTAAACGTGTTTTGTGTTAGTTGAACATTAACACTAGTGTTGAACAGTGGTGCCATATTTAGCTATACAGTGATTCGTTGAAATACAAGTTTGTTTCCTTCCTCAAATGATCTTTTGCTCTTTCCCCAGTAAAATAAAATGTTTATGTGTTTTGTTGTCATCAGGAAAATAGCCCTATAGAATAGTGTACTTTCTAAAAACATACACTATTGTCATAAGGAAGAGGAAGGTAAGCAAATTAAATTAGGTTTTTGCCACATTTTTACTTTAATTCACTAGTCATTGTGTTGCTCTTTCGGGTGTGTGTACCTTGACCACCTGAGGGCAGTATAATACAGATACTGTATACAGTACATGAACACGGTCACGACCTACTCTGTAAGCCGAAATAATATTAATCATTCTCCATAGAGGACGAAAAATATATGGGTATTGCCATATTATCTGTCTACATGTGTTGCGCCTCTGTTTGTGTTACCATTAAGCTAGCGAAGACAAAGTTAAGTGATTTTAAATTCAAATTTAAATTTGCGTCACTCATAACTTTAAGCAGCATGTTTTCGGGAAATCAAAACATTAAGAGCATCTCGATGCATAATCCATGCTGTTGTTTATAAATTGACGCACTCAAGGTATGTTTGAATGTGATTGTTAGGTAAAGGAGTTGGGCGTGGTCGTGTACAACTGCAGCTGTCTGGCCTCAGACTTGGGAAAGATCTTCGAGGCTTACTGGTTCTTGGGGGAGAGCCAGTCCATCCCGTCACCTTGGCCCTCCAGCTTCTCCACCGTCTACAACAAAGAAACGCCACTTCAGCTGACCCTTAACAACACTCTCTCCAGCGTCTACTTGACAGTGAGTAACAACACCAAACTAAACTTTGTGTTTGTGTTTGTTGTTGTGTTAACAACTTCTTCTTTATCAGAGTTCCCCTCTGTCCTTCTGCGCCGCCGGTAGGACGTCTGACCTGGAGTCCATCTTAAACGTGATGGAGGACGCCAAGAGTTTCGTCTACATCGCCGTCATGAACTACATGCCCGCCATGGAGTTCTCACATCCCAGAAGGTAAAGCGGGCTGCACTCACACATGCAATCATTTGGTTGGATCGTATTTTTAACATGAAATAGAAGAAGCTCTGCGATTGGCTGGCAACCAGTTCAGGGTGTCCCCCGACTACTGCCCGAAGTCGGCTGGGATAGGCTCCAGCACGCCCACGACTCTTGAGGATGAGCGGATTAGAAAATAGATGGATGGATGAATAGAAAAAGCTGGGCTAGTTATAAGCTTTTGTTTGCGACTTAGAACTTGAGAAACCAAGTTGCAATTTTCTATGTAATCTGCCTGGTGGTGCATCCATTGTGCTGTTTGACAGGTATACAAAAAAAAAAAAAAAACTTAAAAAGACGATTATTTGTGGCTAATTTTGTACTACTCTGCCAATATCAGATCATTTGCGGATTTTTGTGCTCTCAAAATGCGGCAAAAAAAAAAAATTCTCATTGACTGTAATGAAAGTCAAAAATACTTCTAATTGACATTGTATATATTGAACATCCCTGCAGGTACTGGGCGGACATTGACACCCAGCTGCGTCGGGTGGCCTACGAGAAGCACGTGCAAATGCGCCTGCTGATCAGCTGCTGGTCGAATACACCGCCCGCCATGTTCCCCTTCCTCAAATCGCTGGCGTCACTCTATGACCCAAAGGCCAAGCTGGATATCCAGGTGGTGAGTAGATGGCTTGTTTGTGGTGAGTAGGCAGGATGTTTGTAACAAGATCAGGACAGCCACTTCGTCTCTCTCGTCAACAGCGACTCTTCGTGGTTCCCTCCAGCGCCGAGCAGAAGCAGATCCCCTTCGCCAGGGTGAACCACAACAAGTACATGGTGACAGACCAGGTCGCTTACATCGGTAAGACATGATAACTTTTGTGACCCAACTGAGTTCACGACTGATGTTGGGAAAATTGCTGAGTGACCTGAAAGTGACCCCAGGTTGGGTCAGATGAAGTGTGGGTCACTGGTCCACTAGTCCCCACTGCCTGCGAACCGCCACGAGCAAATGTAGGAGAAAAAAAAAAAAAATCCCAGTTCTTTTGATCCAGATTTATACCCAATTTTGAGGAAAATGCCATGAAACCATACAAATAGAGAGCAAGGCCGAATGAATATTTTCATAATAAATAAATCATATGTGGCCATCGTGTTCCACTCTAGTCCTGTAGGTGGCAGTCATGCAAAAAAAAAGTGACAAGCAATAGCCCCACCAAAAAAAAGCCCCCACACACACACACACACACACACACACACACACACACACACACACACACACACACACACACACACACACACCACAACTCCCTCTAGTGGATCTCTTAGATCACTGCACCACTGGGTCCAAACACAAGTGGACTGCAAAAAGCAAAAGAGAAAGAAGTCTAGCTTGGCACAGAGAAATAAAAGAACCATAGAGCGAAAAAAAATCCCAGACATTCATCAACATTAAAAGGTTTCTATCTTTTCTATCCTTGTATTAGTTCCTGAGAATCAGCTCGTTTTGTATTCCCTGACTCATAATCAAGCAAACTATCAAAATTGTTTTGTTTTGTTTTTTGTAAGTTAGAATGAAATAAATGCTAAGTTGCTTGTATTTCTTCAGGTACATCCAACTGGTCGGGCGACTACTTTGTGAACACTGCAGGCTCTGCCATAGTGGTCAACCAGACGGCATCGTCGTCCCTGGAGCCCAGCGTTCAATCACAGCTGAGGAATGTTTTTGAGAGAGATTGGAACTCCGGCTACAGCGTCCCCCTCACGCAGCACACCGACATCAAAGATGTCTGTTAGTCCGCATGTTACAAAGTAGTGCAGGTACTTTTTTGAAGAGCCCATACTCCGGGGTGGAGGAACATTTTCAACACTAGGAAAGCGGCTTTCGACGATCCTTTTTACGAACATTTTAAAGATTTGATTCAACACTGATGTCACCATTAAGACATCCTTCATCATAGCTAATCTCAGGGAGAAGCTTGAGATGTTTTTTATTTTATTTTCTGGAGTTTGCCGTGTGTATGTAAATGGATGCGATCACTAATTAAAATAATTGAAAGGAACTGAGTGAGGGTTTGCTTCTAATTGACTTGATTCCTTGTTGATTTTTGTCGGCAGAGACGCTGTTGTCATGGCCTCTGTCAAATGAAGCATAAAGGAGCAGCAGAAAAATTACTCTTAATAAACTTGGTCTCACAATTGATACACTTCAAATATTTTAGATTACTTTAATCGGATTTAGGTGCAGTATTTAATGTCACCGGGGAGTGCTCTGCAAGCTCGCACGAAGGATTCAGGACAGTGCTGAGTAAGATCCAATGCAAGGGGACCTCGTTTTGCAAGGTACATTTATGTCGGAATTCCAACTTGTCTTGGTTCAAGCAGAACAAAGAACAGGCAAAAATGTGTAAAGTTCCCAACTTTAATAGACAGAAAGGGGCATTGTATTTTGACAGTGAACTCAACTCACTTGACAGCAAGCAGCAGTTGGGCAGAAAATATTTTTTTCTGTAAAGAGGCTTCAGGCTGTTTAATGCGTTGAAGTTTACTGTCAAACGAAACCAAAGAGAATTACGTGTTGTCTATTTAAAACATAACTTTGCCTTAATGTTTGCCAGCTTAAATAGGCTAACAAATAGTATTAGAGTTGGAGCGGTATAACCCCTTTAGTAGTGGCTATGTGAACACTAACAGTGGAGCAATACATAACTCACTTGACAGCAAGCAGCAGTTGGGCAGAAAATTATTTTTTTCTAAAAAGAGGCTTCAAGCTGTTTAATGCGTTGAAGTTTACTGTCAAACTAAACCTAAATCAAAGAGAATTACGTGTTGCATATTTAAAACAGAACTTTTCCTTAATGTTTGCCATCTTAAATAGGCTAACAAATACCATGAGAGTTGGGGCGGTATAACTCTTTAAGTAGTGGCTATGTGAACACTAACGGTGGAGTAATACATGTAGACAGATAATATAACAATATATGTATTCTCCTTTTCCAAGATTACTTACTGGCGCTTCCTGTGGAGCTGTGACTGTCTCCGTGTTTATCTGTATGTCTGTATTATACTGCCCCCCGGTGGGCAAGGCACGCACAGCAGAAGGGGCAGCACAAAGTCCATTGATTTGAAGCAAAAAAAAGTGTCAAAGGGTTTCATTCTTTACTTTCTGTTTACGTCTACCTTTACTGTATGCTTTTATAAAGTGCTGTATTACAGTCTGCTGTTTTGTTGGGTTTTTGTAGGAAGTTGGAATGGATCAAGGGTATTTCCTTTCATTTCAATGGGGAAAGTTGATTTGAGATGTGAGTGTTTTGGGTGACGAGCGTGGTCATGGAATAAATTGAACTTATATCTCAAGACACCACTGTATTCCTTCGCATCTGTTCTGAGTCTCGCTTGCACACTACGCCAAACAATGACTACTACGGAAGCTTCAAAAGTCTCCGCCTCTTCTTCTTGCTCATAACCACTCTCCATCTCCTGCAGTGGTGCTCAGTGTTGTGTATTGTGGCACAACTTAGTACTACACTGAAGGCACACAACTCTCAATTCAGACTTGCCCGTATACCGTGAATAGGCTAACAAATACCATGAGAGTTGGGGCGGTATAACTCTTTAAGTAGTGGCTATGTGAACACTAACGGTGGAGTAATACATGTAGACAGATAATATAACAATATATGTATTCTCCTTTTCCAAGATTACTTGCTGCCGCTTCCTGTGGCGCTGACTGTCTCCATGTTTATCTGTATGTCTGTATTATACTGACCCCCGGTGGGCAAGGCATGCACAGCAGAAGGGGCAGCACAAAGTCCATTGATTTGAAGCAAAAAAAAAAGGTCAAAGGGTTTCATTCTTTACTTTCTGTTTACATCTTGCTTAACTGTATGCTTTTATAAAGTGCTGTATTACAGTCTGCTGTTTTGTTGGGTTTTTGTAGGAAGTTGGAATGGATCAAGGGTATTTCCTTTCATTTCAATGGGGAAAGTTGATTTGAGATGTCAAAAAAAAAGGTCAAAGGGTTTCATTCTTTACTTTCTGTTTACATCTTGCTTAACTGTATGCTTTTATAAAGTGCTGTATTACAGAGTGCTGTTTTGTTGGGTTTTTGTAGGAAGTTGGAATGGATTAAGGGCATTTCCTTTCATTTCAATGGGGAAAGTTCATTTGAGATGCGAGTGTTTTGGGTGACGAGCGTGGTCATGGAATAAATTGAACTTATATCTCAAGACACCACTGTATTCCTTCGCATCTGTTCTGAGTCTCGCTTGCACACTACGCCAAACAATGACTACTACGGAAGCTTCAAAAGTCTCCGCCTCTTCTTCTTGCTCATAACCACTCTCCATCTCCTGCAGTGGTGCTCAGTGTTGTGTATTGTGGCACAACTTAGTACTACACTGAAGGCACACAACTCTCAATTCAGACTTGCCCGTATACCGTGAGAAAACATAAAAAACAATCGCGATATGATGGTGGTGCACACCAGGGGTAAACCTGTGTTGGAAATGTTCTTTTCTTCTTCCCTCAAACTATGGCTTTGTGACCCCCAGGGGACCAGGAAGCACAGTTCTAGAATGACGCGCTCCATGTTTCTGTGCAAACTTTCTGCCTCACTACTTGTTGTCCAAACCGGACTGGACATATTTCAGCCTCAGGTCTTCTCTGGGCAACAATGAAGAATAATGTGTTGATTAAAAAGGTGTTCTGATGCCGCAGTAATCAACACGCTGAGCTTTGTGCTCCGTGCTGGGGGTCAGTCTGCCATCCAGCATGCAGCCCCCACTAAGCCCACCAACAACAGCCTGTGCTAAAGCCTCCAAAGGTAACAACAATGAGAGCTTTGCAGCGACACGGAGCAAATTGCTGACTGTCCGCAACTGCTAATGCACGCCTATTCTGTGCTGTCTGTAGACACACACACACACACACACACACACACACACACACACACACACACACACACACACACGCACACACACACACGCAGCGGTTGAGGATGCAAAGTTGGGTACTGGATTGGACCCCCTCCCATCTTTTCCATCCCCCGGTGTAAGCCACACTGAGAGCGTCGCTGGTCTGCCGGCCCCAAAGCGTCGAAGCCACCCCGGGATCGCCTCCACCTCGAGAGCCCCGAGTGCAGGCTGCTGTGTTGGTGTGCTCCAGTGGCGTCCTCCTCCAGACCATGTGTGAGTGTCTCCGTGGAATATTCCGAGTCACCTGGACACCTTCCTCTGATGCAGGTCAGGATGAATAACTTGCGGAGTGGATCGGCAATAAGAACCAAAGTTTGAGAACCACCAAAGACATCGAATTGTCACCGGGGTGATAGCATTGTGCTTTTAAGTACAGCATGATGCGTCAAGCGAGCTAAAATGTAAAATGTGACATTAGCTAATTAAGATCTTCAATGGTGATTGTTTTCTATTCATTATGAATCCATGTTCCCACTTATTAGTTTGCCGTGTAGTAGAGAAAGACACTTATCTGAAATCTGTTGAATTTAAGGAACAAGCTGTGGTCATGTTTCCAGAATAGTGTTAGCTTGCAATGTGATACATTGTTATGAGGTCATGTAACATTGCAAGTTTTGGAGCCTATGAATGATGAATTTCAAATTCTTCTGATTCCAAAATATTAGATAGTTAGACATCCATTTGTTGGAAGGGTCTTTTGGCTTTATGGCTCATCCAGATTCTTGGTTGCAATATGTCACTACACAGCTCAGTGGCGTTAATCCTCAACCTGAACAACACTATGAAAACCAAAACCCAACAACATCACTCCGGCAGCACCAATGCCTGAACTCCATCCAAGTCCAGATACCCCCACTGTATGGCTGAATAAATGGAAATCCAGGCATTGTGGATCAAAGTCCATGTTTGCTGACACAATCGTGGCAGCTGACCCATCCCAACACAATCCTGATACCAGACGAACACAAAGCCAGCAACATCCAAATACTATCCTGATATATTATGCGATTCTTGGATTTATCTCATCATAAAACATCGAGACCAAATCCTCACACTATACCGATTAAATCCCAATTTGATCTCCATAAAATCTCCAAAATACACTGGCAAAATCCCAAAGTCATCCCACAAAATGTCTTCATTCAAATAAGATTCTAAAACAAGTCACAGATCATCCCGCCCAAAAATCTCCTCAACTTCCTGACAACATCCAAAGACTACACTCAGATATTACTCCATTCCTGAATGTATCCCCTGATGATCAATAAAAGGATTAATGATCATAAAACATCCAGACAAAATTGCAAGACCACATAGAGACCATCTCCGCAACATTCCAACTACATCCCATCAAAATCTCAACATCATGTCCATGGCATCCTAACACTACAACACTATCTCCAAAACATTGCCACAACATCCCAACATCATCCCCATAGCATCTGAGCTAGATTCTCACGCTATACAGATTCCATCTCGACAACACCAAATCTTCACGACATCCTGAATACATCGCAACGCTATCACCATAAAATCTCGAGAACATGCTGACAAGATGCCAACATCCCCACGTAATCTCCCCAAATCCTGACAAAATCAAGCAATCAACATGTCCACCATATCCAAATGCCCCGACAGCATTCGCACATAATGGAACTCTATTCCAACGGTTAACAAAAAACATGCCAATCATATCCTGACCACAACATTACCTCAACAAATGCCAACAGCATTCTGAAAACATCCCAATGCCTACCGAAGAAAATTTGACCAGCATCTTAACCACCATTGCGACATCTCAATATCGCCTAGACTACATCACAACAACATCCCGAGAACATTGCAGTACCAGTAAGGGCTTCAGTCTGATGCTGGATTGCATTCGCAACCTCTGGATCTACCACAAATGTATCATGTTTGAGGGAACGACATGCGTCTTGTTTTGTCATCAATCCACCTCATAACAACGCAGGAACTTTATGCTGGTTTGGATTGTGCAGTGGGGCAGACTCACTGTTTACCACACTAATAATACACACACAGAAACACACTAATAATAGACACACGCACACACGCGCGCGCGCGCACACACACACACACACCACACACTCACGCACCCACACACACACACACACACACACACACACACACTGTGTTGCAGCTGCTCAAGCATTGCGAGAGGAAGCTTCACCCTTTCTCCAAATCCTGCTCTTTCTAATTTTAGACGTTGGCTTTAAAAATAAACTGAAACAACATCTCCCACCGGGACCGTCGCTCTGCAAGTGCATCAGAACTTTCTCTCCACATTCCTAAACTTCTCACTCTGACAACGACATTAGCTAAAAAAATGAAAACCCCTGCTGAAATCAGTGCCAGTCAAGTGAGTAGAAACACATTCAGTCTTCACACAAAGACGCTGTACCATGCCCCAAACGTTGTTATCGCTTTTCTCCCTCCCTACTTTATCAGCAATGTAGGCCCCGCCTCCAGCTGACCTAATATGGGGGCATCTTCCTGCCCGCTGGCCAATCAGCAAGCTGGCCCCGGTCCCTTCTGGAGATGCTGTGGTCCTGTGTCGGGT